ATCAGCGTCTCTTTCCATTTCTTCTTGACCCACAAAGACTGCACATTTAAGAACATGTTGTTATGTTTCTGTAAATTGAGAACAGGAATAAAAAAAACCCCAACAGACCCAAACCAGAAACCTAAATCATCCAGAAGTGTTAGTGGGATATGATTTTTCAAAAAAACCTCATTGTTACATCACTGACAAATAATACTGAAGATTGAGAGTGAGAAAAATTGCAGCTTCTCCTTGCTCTTGTCAGCAGATATTTAAATGGTCTTTCCTGTGGCTGCAGTGGAGCTGTTTTCCATATGAGTTTGATCGTTTAAGTTTGTCTATCCTTTTTCCTTCTTGAGAGGAAAACCAAACATCCACTTTTTGGGGAGAGAAAAAACAAGGCTTAGGTCAGCAGACTGTGCATTGGTGTCACTGTGCATTGAGGTTAAGAACGTTGGATGTGAAAGAATGAACACATTCTGTCTGGGTGAAAGAATGATGTCTGTTCGGGCTCAGTTTGCTATGGTTTTTGAGCTTTCCATATGATCTCATCACTGGAGGAGGAAAGTATATTCTCCCATAAGAATAATCTTATACTTATGATTCATTACTACTGTGTTTTTTTTTTTTTTTTTGTGTGAGCCTTTTGAGTGCCAGACCTCCCCCCACTCTTCCACCCCAAATAAAAACCAACCACCCTGTCTTTGACTTTATATGGTATTACTGTAGGTGGACTTATCTAGAATAATGGTTGGCTTTAACAATCAGAGCCTTACATGCCTGTCTAGAGAAGAACTCCTCCTAACATCTGTTTATCCAGCTATTTGTCAGGCTTTACATTTTGGGAAGAGAGCTTGTACACTTTGTTTCCTGAGGTTTGATAAGCCCTGTTTTGCATAAATGTTCCCTTCATGAATTTTCCATTTTCTGCACATAATTTCATATACTTAGTTTGGTAAGTTTACTTGGGAACAGACAATTTCTTAATTTTTCTGAGTTAATATTTAGATTGTCACTTTAGTTCCCCAACCCACTGTCTTAATAAGTTAGCAGTCAGTTCTCTGAGCAGCTGTGCATCTTGGCAGTAGCATTTGAAGCTGGAGATGGATCCCTTCGCTCATTCTGCTTCATCCCCTAACGAGTTCTCACACTGGGGAGGTGCAGACTAATCCAAGCGTAATGGGTAATGGTTTCTGGAACTAGAAATTGTAAAATTTGTAGATAGGCAAGTAAACCCTCTAGGATGATTTTTTTCATTTCCCACTATTGCTAAAGTAATCTGTCTGGGAGGGAAAAAAAAAAGGCATTCGTGATCAGACCAAAGAGAATCTGGTGCAGTGAATGAAGTCAGTCATCCTTGTGTCTTACAGTAAGTTCCTGCAGTCTGAGGGACATCTGCATTACAGAAAACCCTGTGGACTATGAAGAGTCCATGTATAAATCCTGAGATCAGTAAAGACTTGTTTCCTGTTAGAACAGGAGGGAAGTGTAATAAGCTTGAAAAGCACAAGATCTGGTAAACTATACTGTTCTGGTTCACTTGTTCATTGAACTTAAATTTCAGTTTATATGTATTTGTGGAAGAATACAAAGGGCACTGTCTCAGGTTCTAATAGCAGTGTATGTTAAACTTAGCATTTTCATAGGAAAAGGTGGATCATGGAAAGAAAACTAAACCTTGTTTTTCATTAGACCTGTCAAAGTTAGTCATGAGCTAACAGCATGGATTTTCAATTTAGTGTAGCCCTTTGAAGTTAGTGGAGCTCAGGTTTACACCATAGTTTTAAAAAGTGATTTTTTTTTTTTAGCCTTTATAATGTCTAATTGCTGTAATATGTGATATTCAAGTATTAAACTGTCAAATGGTTATTGAAGAACAGACCTACAGATTCTTCTTGGCTAAAGTTCATGCCTCTGTGCTTTTCTTCAAAACAAAATGTAATCACTTTGGAGTGCAGAACTTTTTACTAAGAAAGAAATCGAATTAATCTCCCTTACATCTAGTAATGTGCAATTATTGAACCCTGAAAAAAGGCTAGCACACTGTGATGGTTTAATTTGTTTCTGATAGTGATAGCTTCATTTTTCCCTCTTATTGCTGCAGTCTGATAAGCAAAGTGATGGGTGGTGGTAACTGTTGACAGGAGGGGGTGTATGTCACGTTCAAGTTGCTACCTGGATAGGAAAATTATAGATCTGGAACATTAACATTTTAGGTATGGAATGTGTGTGAAATGAAGGCAGAAGGGTTATTTTGTGTAGTGATTGAATGTGAAATGAAGGCAGAAGAGTTATTTTGTGTAGTGATTGAATAGGTCAACTGGAAATTGTTTGTATTTTTAAAGTATGTGAATTTTTTTAAAAGTATGTGAATCATCTCGTATCTTTATATGGGTAAGAATAATCCTCTGCTATTAAGAAATTCTTGTTTTAAATGGGGCATGAAGTGTTAGAGATCTAGACTTGTGTAATATTTCCAGTTATAAGGCATAGCCTGAGAAGTGGAACTAAAAATAGTTTAACTGTTGTTAAAGAAAAGCAAGAAATTCTGCTCAAGGTCATTTTATTTGCACTTATGAATTGTGCCACTTGAATACCAAATAGTTATAAAAAGAACATTGCATTTAACATAAAAAAAAAAAAAAAAAACCCTCATGTAAAAACTTTCATAGAACTTGGGCCTGTGGAAGGACCATGGCAGGGCAAAGAGTGAGAACACTTTGAATAAGAACGTCTGAACTTGATGGTCTGTCATAGTAATTAAGTCTTCTGATCACTGTACCATTACTCAGTCACTCTCTGGTTCTACCTTCATTGTAATTGGAACATATTAGCTTATACTCATAGTATTAATTTTTAATAGAGTTAATAGAGTTAATTTTTTTTTTTTGTCTGACACATGATTTAGACAGAGGTTTGGTTTTTGTTTTTGTTTTTGTTTTTGTTTTTTGACCAGCACTCTGCAAACCACATAGCTCTGCCTCCAAATCAGTCTAGGCCCTGTCACCATGGTGTATCGTGCCTGTGCTTGATTAAGATTCAAATGTAGCAAAAATTTGTTTTGGGTTCCGAAGTTTTCCAAGTCTTCTATAATACTGTTTTCTAAAATGCTATGCATTTTAGAAAAAAAACACTACTGTTTGTCATGCAGTTTGCAAACAATACAGAGTATTTCTGGGTTTGAACTTTAGGATAATCATGTGGCAAAATACTCTAAAAATTAAGAAATCTATTAGGTTCTTGCATTCTCCTCCTCTCAAATGAGAGAACCTTCTTATTATTTACCTGTGGCATGTTTTCAGTGGGATTGTGAAACACCTGAAACTTGTAACTAATTTTATTTTCCTTGCACCTAATCTTTCTTCCTGGATCAGATGTGGTCCTTTTGGTCTGAACTATAAACTAGGCTTAGAAAAGAAGTGGTGTATGTGTATTACCATTTTACTATACCTGTGTTGAACATTAGTAATTTCTGGCTAGAAAAAGGATGGTCTAATTAGAGGTTGTTATTCCATTCTAATCTAGTTGTTGAATAGGTGATGAGACTAGAACACGTGCATTTGAAAATATTTTCTCATCTGATCATGAATCTGTTGCACGCATAAGAAACGTTCTCAGTATTTTCTCTTCTCCCCTAGCATCTTAGTGTTGAGCACTTTTCTCATAGTTCCAGTACCATGGAAAGTGTGATAGAAATTGATGCTGTGTTTTCTCAAAAATATCAGTGTAAGAAGTTAATGAAACAGCTGGATACACTGCTGAACTTTTGTATGCTGGGAGTTGGAAATAAGATACAGGGAAATTCAGCATGGTCTTATTAAACAAAAAAAACCCCCACCCCAAACAAAAAAACCCAAAACCACACAAAAAAACGCCAAACAACAAACACAACCTCCCTCCTAAAACCAACCAATAAAACCCCACAAAATCCTTTCGAGAAATACTAGGGGGGGAGTCATCTTCTCCCTCCTTTGTAAAATATGAAGAAATGTTTCCTTTTTGTAATTTCTGAAGAATGCACATCTCTTCAGCCTTCTCAGTTTTCCAAACGGCAGGCCACATTCCTTGCGAGCCAGGCATCATGTGCTTTCTATAATGTTGAATGTGTTGGAGGGGGATGTTCAGAGAATTTGCTTTACTGATAAGAAATCATTCCTTTCTATTTTTATTTCCTGTCTACATCTGCACATTCCCCGTAAAGCCAACTCGTGTAGTATCACTCTCTCCCCTCCTAATAAATAGTGTGTTTATGGTATGTTCTGCTTTCTTCTAATACAATGATATTCATGATATTATGTTCCCTTTAAACTTTAGGTTGTACCTTAGCTTTCAGATGGCTGCCATAATTAGGATTAGCTACTGATAGCAATCTCCTGATGAAATTGCACTTTTCACTAATCAATAGAACCTTTTCTAAGGGAGAATGTTACGTCTAGATTACAAAATACATGAAAACCAAAAAGCATTTAATTTACAAGTAGATGTATTTTTTATGCTGAACTTTATCCCATGTGTGTGTTTTCTTCTATGTATGTTAGAAAGGAATATGTGCCTTCTAATCCTCATTTCTTATAGAAATAATTGTCACTGGAAAATGTAAACTGTATGAAGCTACTGTAACTACAGCTTCTCTGTTCTCCAGTCTTCACAGAAACTTTGTGTATGGTTATGGCATTTAATTAAAATTCATGGTTGGTGGTGAGGAGAAAGGAGGGGAAAAGGACCTGCAGGAAGAAGAAGCCGGGGAAGATGGGGGGAAGAAAAGGGAAAACATAAATCTCTTCTCGGTCTTTTTTTAGTACTTAGGCCTGTTTGTCTTGACCACAACTTTTCAGAATAAACAGCTTTAAGCAAAATATCAAAGTGCTAGCAGCTTTGTATTTAGAAAGATGGGCATTTCAGCAAGTTGCAAGGATTATTGCTTTAACATTTTCTGTTGAAAAACCCTACAAGTTAACAAAAAAGATTTGCCAGAAGTAATTTTATGTTCTACCCTAAAATACTTGTATTTTAACAGTGAACAGAGTATCTGCCAAGCACGAGCTGCTGTAATGGTCTATGATGATGCCAATAAGAAATGGGTACCAGCTGGTGGATCAACTGGATTCAGCAGAGTTCATATATATCATCATACAGGCAACAACACGTTCAGAGTAGTGGGCAGGAAGATTCAAGATCATCAGGTAAGTGAATCTCTGAAAATTTGGAATAAGAATCTTAAGACAATGTTGTGATTATTTTTAGCATTAAGACAGACATCTTCAGGAAATTTGAGAAACTGTAAATAAAAAACTTAATTTTCTTTTTAACTTAAGTAGCAGAACTGTATCATGGTTTTTTTTTCCCCCCTAAACTAAGCGCTTTACATATGTCCAAGCTGGTAGTCCTTGTGCACTCTCACCATTCCTTCCTGCAGATAAGTATAAAGGCTGGTGTTGAACATAGAAGTCACCCAATTCTCTTTAAGGCAAAGTGGCAACCTAAAGTCTCTTCTTTTGCCTTGCTCTGTGTTGTTAGCTGCAATCTGTGTAGGAACCAGCAGTTCTCTTGTAGCCCTTCCTGTATTATAAAAAGTTATTTGCATATCTCGTTGCCACAGATCATTTCATTCAAAAATCCTTCTGGCATTTAGTTATTCTGGCCATCCACCTCATCAAGAGATTGAGAAGGGAGCAACAAGAATTAGATCTTAATTTCCTTGATGGAGTTATTAGATCTTCATTAAATGATAAACTTAGCACTCTGTCTTGAAATATGCTCTGTCTAGTGATACTTGGGGTAATGTTAAAAATCTAATCTTTTTGATATGAGGAAAGCATCTCAATCTGTTTCCCTCACTTCCAGCATTTCATAAAATTCTTCTGGTCTGTTCTTGGTCATTTATCACGCTCCTGAAGCATAGACTGATAATCTCCTATGTGATTTGTCATTAAATTCTTATTCCAAGTAAAAAATGGTCTCTGTGCTTTCATCTGAGAACAAACATGAGTTTTTTTTCTCTCATTATTCAGTGGAAAAAGGTGAGAGGATATAGTTATCCAAGTGCAATGGGATCCTCTTAATGGATGGTTTGTAATAAATGGTTGTCCTACTTGCTAGAATTTATTACCTTTTGTAAGCCTGAATGATCCTTGCAAAATGATACCTTGTGATGCATAGAATTCCATGTAAACTGCTACTGCAAGCCAAGGGGTGCAGCAGGAAGGGAAGGCAATAACTGGGTTTAAAAAAAGTAGTTCTAAGAAGTACTCTATGAAGTTAATGGAAAACTGACTTTCTGAAATCCAAATGCATTGTTTATGTCAGGTATTCTGCTACTAAGCCAGAACTGTTCACTGTAAAAGTCAGAACTACTACATTGCTGTTACAAAACATCACTGCATCTTTTGAAACAAGAATGCTTAAGCTACAAAAGTTGATACAAAATATCTCATTAGTCCCCTTGTTTATTCTCATCACTGATTTCATCTGGCACTGGAATTAAAATTGAAGTAGCTATGTTCTTCAACATTTGTATATTGTTTTGGGTTTATTGTGGGTCTTGAATTAACCTACATGGTGAAGGAATGAAATCTACATGAAGCTGAAACTTGTGATGAAACAGCAATTTGAATTTATTTTTTTTAAATGATTATAGGTGGTAATAAATTGTGCCATTCCAAAAGGGCTGAAGTACAATCAGGCTACGCAGACCTTCCACCAGTGGCGTGATGCTAGGCAGGTGTATGGTCTGAATTTTGGCAGCAAAGAAGATGCCAATGTCTTCGCAAGTGCCATGATGCATGCCTTAGAAGTATTAAATTCACAGGAAGCTGGTAAGAGTCTCTTAACTTTATTTTAAAGATTGTTCAAATATAAAGTGGAAAAAATTCAAGTGTGTATGCATAAAAGTCAGTAAGTCCTGTTTCTAAACATTGTTCAGCCTCTAGCCACTTTAATTATTTGGCTGTTTTTTCTACCTAATTACTGCTTAATAGTGATTCTCAGCTGGACTGCTATCTATATAAATGCAGTTTCTAACAAGTAAATAGATTTTCATGTTATTTGTTAAAATTGCTGGGTTTTGTTGTGTTTGTTTGGTTTTGTGGTGGGTGGTTTTTTTTTTGTTTTGTTTTTTAAGGAAACCTGACTGAGAAACACATACTTCTTAATCAGGGTACTTTTCAGGATTTCTAGACATCCAGTATTCTTAATATGCATTTTTTTTTTTTTTTTTTTTTCCTCATCAAGTACTAGCTTATTATGAAAACAGTTTTTTCCTCTGACCTTTGGAATTCAAGTCATCCTCTTTGGCAGTTCTTGCCATACAGTTTTCTAGGTTTAAGACTGTGAATCTAGGGGTAACTGTCACATAAGCATATGTAATTTAGACAACAGGTCTATCATTTAATTTGTTTGGAAAACAGGCTGACACAGAGGGTTTAAAATACTGGTGGAAAAATGAGTGACCTTTGGTCTTCAGGTGGTGTCTGTAATGTATTCTAGGTAGGCTCTGCAGCAAACTGATCAGTATGTAACACTGGGACACACAGAAGGAGTTTTTATTTTTAAAGACTAAAAGAGACTTTTGTGTTCTCGTAACCAAATAGAATTCTTTTGTCCTCATTAAACTTTAAAAATTGCCCATGTAACAAGAGACAGTACTTTTGTGCCAGTTTTCTTTCTCATGTGTGGAGGAGAGGCTGTCTTAAATACATCAAAAAAGGGTGACTTTATTAAGTTGCTCTTCATTCTGGTAGTTGTTTCAAGACTTACCTTTTGAAACTAAGCTATGTAGACCAAGGGTGATACATTCTGTTGCATGCTGTTATGCAGCATACAGGGCCAAAATAGAGGGGGGTAGCTAGAGGTAAAAGGTTTCTTTTTGCCATGTGAAATAACCCAGTTTTAGATCCCATTCTTGTACTTCTCAGTTGGACGTTTTCTCTTCTAAATCCTTCCATTCTCTTTTCCCTAAAGGTTACTTGATTGTAAACATTTCGGCATTCTGACTGTCTATCTCCCAACCAGCATTCGGGAATGCAAGTGTTGATTTCTGATCTTTTGCTGTGAACTCTGAAAGGGACTGATTTATGGTCGTTGCCACAAGTTTGAGGGGTTGCTGTTGTTTCCTCATACCTATACTTGAAGAGTTTGGTACAACATTTCAAACAAATGTGTTTGCATATATATCCTTTTTTTTTTCTTCATCATTTAATTTACTTCCTCGTCCTAACACTAAAACTGAGCTACTAGAGAGGCTGAAATGACATAGGCAGGCATGACAGTGCCCATTTTTTAGCTGGTTGGTGTGTGTTTTTCCATTTTGTGGATTTTTATTATTAGTGACTACTCTCTTCCTGCTTTATGAAAAGTATTTGTGGGCTAACAGATATATTGTTATATTCTTCAGGAACAGACATTTTATTGAACTAAAGTGCCACTTGAGTTTATGAAGACTTGGATAAAACTAAAAGTTTCAGGGGGTTTCTTGAAATGTAACTTTAGTTATATAAAACATTATTCAGGCAGTAGCCTAGAATCAATGTTAATTCCACAAGAACAAACAGCTCAATGAAAAGAACTTTTTCCTGTTACATCACTTCAGTAATTCCTTAAATGATGAGGGTGAGGGGAGCTGAGCTTTGCAATGTACCTAAAAAAATCACTGTCCTTAGAATTCAGTCCTCTGCTTGTCCCAAATTGTGAATTCTTCCAAATCACTCTGCCAGTAATTTCTTCATTGATCTCTGACATGGCCTTACAGTTTGATTTTGTCTGCTTTGTTCAATTTAATATCAGTGAATCTCTGATGATTGGGAGATAGTGTTGTTTTCAGGTGGATTTTTGTGTGGCCTATGAAATAAGAGTTGAGTATGACTGCAATATCGTGTCCCAGGTGCTGGCTACAGTGTTGTAGTTTACCCGATTTGTTCTGAATGGTTTTGAGATGTATGCTTGGCAAGGACATGAATTAAATTGTCTCCCCTTCCTGTGATTTGACTTGGTAGTAGTAGGTACAAGTGCATTCTTATTTAGCTGCATCACAAACTAACGGTGGACACCATCAGCAGCACAGAGGGAGACAACTCTTCTTCTGTAACCTGTCAGCTAAGAAGGGACGTGGCTATTTAAGATTAGCTATCACTTCCCTATTTCACAGACATAGAGGTGCTCTAGATTCCATCAAGATGAAATTAAAGTTTAACATTACCAGTGTTGCTTCAGCAGATGTCTGAATAGGAGTAGCTTTTGCACTGCTGCTTCTAAAAAAAATTCATAATTATGCATACAGAATCACTTTGTAAGCCTGTTACCATTTCCAGACAATGTTTAAAGATACATGTTCATAATGTGTCAGTGTTAGAATACTGTCAACAAGTGTTCCCGAGTTTTAACAGCTGGGAGGTTTGTCAGTATATGATCTACATATTAATTAGTTTTTATGACCTGTATCAGTGTAAGAAGTAAAAAAGATCAAGTATCTTTCAGAACATGCCTGCTTAAATAATGGAAACAGGATACCAAGCAGCTTGCAGTTTAGAAACACACTGCTTGGACTCCTTGCTCAAAGTTTAATACGTTTCTTTTTTCGGTAGTTATAATTTCCTAAAAGTGCAGCTAGAAATGAATCCTTGGTGTTTGGTTTAGTGTTTATTTTCCCTAGCATCTCTGGCATAGATGGATATTTACTTTGACAAATCACTGGCTCTGAGGCTCTAATATTAGCTCTTCATTTTAGGAAATGGATTGCAATTGCCTCCTCCTTGTTATAAACAAATTAGCATTTTTTGAAAAGGTGTTGGGGGGTATATGTTACAAAAGGAATTTGTGCTAATATGTGAAGACCAACACATTATGTATTGATAGCTTTGTTTCTTCCAACTTATGTGCTAGACTTTCAAGATTTTAAAACATATATAATCCTAGTTGGTGCTGTGATGATACTGCTTCTAAAATCTGTAGCTGCAGAGGACAACTTGCTTAATAATTTATGTGAGTTGCTATGTTTCCTAGTATATCTTAAACCAGCATATAGAATCTCCAATTCAAGTAAAATAAAGAAATCCTATATAGATAACCTCTCTTTTACTCTAGTATTGCTTACAATTAAAGATGATTCTTGTGGTATTCTTATTGTCTGCTGTCTTTCCTCATTTTGGTAATTTCTTTTGTTACCTTGATTATTTTAAGTTATATTCTGTTCATAAAAGAAAACCAGTTTGTGTTGTGCATATTATTCAGGTATTTATGAAGCTGTAGATGAATTTTAAACTTTATGCAAGGGTTCACAGAAATCTAAACTCCTTCTGAGGAGCATTAAGAATTCTTTTTCTAGACATCCTTTTGGTTTGTGAGTCAGTTGTTACTTATGGTTCTCTTGCTCTTTTAAAAAAAATAAAAGAAAAAATCATATAGTCTCCTCTTGCATCTATTTGAAAAATGTCACTGGTCTTTGCTTGCTGTTGGCATCCTCAGCTCTTATACTTCAAGGTTGCATAATTTAGGATCTCCCTCTAGTGGATCCATGGAAGTAAGAGGTGAAGACAGTGCGCGCCTGTACCTCTGAGCACTCAGTGATGGGCTTTTTATCATTCTGATGAGTTCAAAGTGCAGAGTGAAAGTGTCTGAAGTTGGAGTAGAGGCTTTGCTGCAACTAGCAATTTTCTTAAAAAACAAAAAACTACCAACAACAAACCAGTACAGGTTTGTCTCAAAGGACTCTGAAGTGATGGCTGCCTCGTCAGTGAAACTGGAATACTCTATATGTCTACTTTGGGTGTTGGTTTTTTTTTTCCTCCCCCGAGTTACAGTGCTGATCATGTGATCATCTCAATTTCTCTTATGCTTGAACTCTAGTTAAATCAATGTAAAAGTCAGTGTGATTTCACTCTGTTCTGGTTTGATTGCATTAGCTAGTAGCTATTCAACCAGACCCTATTTTCCTGCTGGCTAGTTGAGCAGATTGTAGGCCACCTGCAAAATCAGAAGAGAAAGACAACACTGAACTACACTTTCTTCTGGAATTTCAAGTTACTAATGCTAAAAGTTCTGCCCTGTACTCTTTAGGACATATATTAAAAATGAATCAAGATTTTGTTTCTGACAGCTGTTTGGAAGACTTACTCATTTGATTCAATAATTGTCTGAGGTGGTCAAAAGTTACACCTTCATTAGATGACAAATGTGTCATCAGTTCAAGAGGTCATTTGAAGAGGATTTCTGCCTTTAAGGCTGTATACAGCATATTCAGATGTTCAGTAATTGGTCTTAATTATCTAGAGTAAAGATGACTGCTTTCTCTGAAGGTTTTGCATTACAATACAAAGAAAATTTTCATATCTACATTAAGTAGAGCTCGGCGTTGCAATCAAAGTGACTCTGGAATGAGAGAAAATCCTCAACAAAGGGAAATTGGATAGCTGAGAAAATTCTCTGATGTGTGAGAAAATGGATTATTCCTTTGAAAGAATAAGGGCAAGCCAGGGAAGCGTGCACTGGGAGATGGGAGGAACAAAGGGGTATTGTACTCAGTTTTGCTGAAAAAAGTATCTTCTAGTTCAGCTGGAATTGGTTTGTTTTGTGTGGCAACTGTCTTCGATCTCAGGAAAGCCACGCTAAGAGGGTACAAAACTACGTATGAGATTTATATGTGTAATTTGCGCTTGAGGAGAGTACTTAAGAGTTTTCATTGCGGAAGATGAAAGCGGCAAAAGAAGAACTGAAGGATGTCACGCAACCGTAAATAAGCCTATTCTAGTTCTTTCTAATAGAATTACATTTATGTCAGATTCATGATGGTGTTTGTGCTAATCATTAAGAGTTATATATTGGG